TGGCAATGGCCATCTGAACGGCGAGAGCAACCACTATGAAGACGAAGAGCCGTACGACATTATCTGTGTCGGCTTTGGTCCTGCCTCGCTGGCGATAGCCACTGCCCTGCATGACCGCGAACTCCCCTCGCGAGCGTTGTTCTTGGAGAGACAGCCCAAATTTGCCTGGCACTCCGGAATGCTCCTGCCTGGGTCGCGCATGCAGATCTCTTTCATGAAGGATCTAGCCACGTTCCGCAATCCCCGATCCGAGTTTACCTTCCTCAATTATTTGCACCAGAACAACCGTCTGTCGGCATTCACAAATCTGGGTACGTTTCTCCCGCTGCGGGAGGAGTTCAACGACTACCTATCGTGGTGTGCCGGCCATTTCGATGATCAGGTCAGATATTCTGAGGAGGTGATCGCAGTCTCCCCGGTGAGGGCGGAGGCTGGTGGGAAGGTGACTTCCTGGGAGGTGCTCTCAAAGTCTAGTGCCGGAAAGGTATCAACTTTGAAAGCAAAGAATGTAGTGATCGCCGTGGGTGGGAGACCAAACTTTCCCACCGGTGTTACGCAAAGCTATGCGAACCCGGGCATTATTCACTCTTCGCAGTACTCGGACGCTGTGCCGAGGCATTTGACCGACAAGAACCGCGAGTACAACATTGCCGTTGTTGGTGCGGGCCAGAGCTCAGCTGAGATCTTTAATGATTTGCACACGAAATACCCCAACGCAAAGACGTCGTTGTTCATCCGTCAGCATGCTTTGAAACCCAGCGACGACAGTCCTTTGTAAGTGCACTCAATCACAAATTCTCACCATCACCAGCTGATAGTATTAGTGTAAACGAAATCTTCGACCCAGAGCGCGTGGACGCCTTGTATCAACTCCCGGCATCTGTTCGTGCTTCTTCGATTGCCGAAGACCGTGCAACAAACTACTCTGTCGTCCGCCTCAATCTCCTTGAGAACTTGTACGATATGCTCTACCACCAGCGCCTCCGCAACCCTGATCAGGAAGCTTGGCAACACCGTATCCACCCTCACCGTGAGATCGTTGGGTCTTCCACGGGTCCTGACGGCAAAATCGATCTGGTTTTGCGTGACACAAGGACTGGAGATGAGGTGGTTCCACCAGCAAGATTCGACGCTGTCATCTTTGGTACTGGTTACAAACGCGACGTCCACGAAACCATTCTCAAGCCGACTAAATCCCTCATGAAGAACTCGGCATGTAGCGTTGGGCGTGATTATAAGGTTATCTTTGACCAAGGAGCCGTCGCTGAGGATGCCGGGATCTACTTGCAAGGATGCTGCGAGAAGACCCATGGTGTAAGTTTTCTTGGAGAATGTTTCTATCCAATAGCTAACAGCTGGCTATAGTTGAGTGATAGTCTTTTGTCGATCCTGGCAGTTCGTGGTGGCGAACTGGTCGACACTATCTATGGGACCCCTGACAAGGAAGAGGTCCATATGCAACAAACGGTCAAGCGATATGCGCAGCTGATGGTGCGGGATATTGTCAGCGGGATGAAGACCACTGCCTCATCTGCTTAAAAAGGCGTTAAGGAAAGAGGTGTTAAACGGAGTTAATTGTGTTTGCCATGGGAGGTTTCTTTGTTTTTGTTTATAGTTTGCTATTCGATTCCCTTCTAGAATGCCAGTGATTGGTGATCTATGATGTCCGATAAATTACATATGAGGTTAGGGTTTATTGGTGACTGATGTTCATTGAATGATCTAAAGTGAGGTTCCAAATGTAATCACTCTGCGAAAGTGATAATCTGGTCTTGCGTTCTGCTGTTGTTAGAATCATGACATCTGTTAGCTCGTTCTATAGAGAGAACTAGATTTCGACAAACAAATCAAGCTTACTTACTTTGAATGACCCAAGACCTAGATCAGTACGTTACCAATCATTCTAAAGTACCTCATTCTTCTTCGTTAGGTGGAATAGTTATCCGCTTCAGGCTCGAAAGCTTTCTTAGTTCTAACTATTGTTTCTCGTGTGATGTCTGGGCGAATTTTCAGTTTTTCACACCATCACTCACTGTCGGTAGGTGTCTTTGGGACTATGATCAAGGTTTCGGTAAATTTTTAGCTCAAGTTTAAATTTTCAAGTGGTCGGGACCGAGTGAGAGACTATGCAAATTTCAGTTTTTCAGAATCGAAGCAACATGCACTGCACCGTGTCGATCCATCCACGATTCATCCTGCATCAAGAAGAATATGGAAGAGTAACAGATCTCATTCGAAGTAAAAGTCACTAGTTTATGTTTAACCAGTCTGTATGAACTTTCCAATGATGCAACATTAAGAGTAAAAGGCAACCCAAACTACTGTGTACATAGTATCATGGAACGGTACTCTTCTTTTATTGGTAGACATATACATATAATGCATTGATTTACAAGCAAATCCTCTATACGCAGTGGTAATAAAATCACAAAACATCAATCGTATAAAACTTACACCGCTAATACCCCTTTGAACGGTTTACAAGGTTCAAAAACTTCTCATCATTACGAATCCTTTCGAGGTTGATTGCCATAATCTCAAGAGCGCGGGCGAAATAGTTATCACCATTTCCGCTTACATGTGGCGTGATGATGACATTCTCCAAGCCCCATAGCTCACTATCACTGGGCAGAGGTTCTGGCTCGGTCACGTCTAGACTCGCTCCCGCTAGACCCCCATCCACTTTTGGATCCAATCCCTTCTTCAATGCTCTAATCAGCGCATCGTGGTCGATGATTCCGCCGCGCGCGATATTGACCACATATGCGCCCTTGCCAGAGTTGTGTCTCGGTCTTCCGAGGATCTCGAACTCCTCCTCGGCCAGGAAATGTTTCGTCTGGGGCGTCAACGGTACCGCAACCAGCAGAACATCGATTCCCTGCTTCAGGAAGTTCCGCCGGCTGTCTTCGTCAAGGCCATGGAACCACTCGTCGGGTATCTCTCCACTGGCATCGCCCGTACCGGGGACAATGTAACCGTTATCTCGTCGACTCTCAGGTGTGCTCTTTTCACTGGCGGTGTACGCCAGAACCTTCATTCCCAGCGCCTTCGCTACTCTTGCCGCCTGCCGCCCAATGCTGCCATATCCCAGTACGCCCAGTGTCTTCCCAACCAGATCCTGTACACTCATGTGCTGTCCGGGCCTCGAGCCCCATCTCGACTCACGCTGCCAGGAAAGCAGCGTCGGAACATTGTGGGTGAGCGCCAGAAGTGTCGCAAACACATGCTCCGTAATCTGGGGGCCATGGATACCGGTTGCGCTCGCTATGGGGATGTCGGTCTCTTGGTACAGCGCAGATTTGGCGCAGAAGTCGACACCGGCCGAGGCGAGCTGGATGAACTTCAGGTTGGGCACCTGTGCCGGCTCCGGGAACGAGAAAACGCTAAACAAGATGGTGCACTTTTCCCAAGGAATTTCTGGGTCGTCCATTCCCGCTGAGCTGTCGGACAGCTTCATCTGCACTTGCACCCAGGTGAATGTGCTCTTGGGATATGCGGCGCGCAGTTTGTCGAGTGCTCCGGCGGTGACGCTCTCTGGGAAAGGCATTGTCACAACGACATGCTCCTCGAGTTGTGCGGCTACTGTCTCGGTGTTGCCCATTATGATTGAATTGGTGGATGAGTAGTCTGTAGATATGTGACTTTTTAGTGAATGCGGATATTTAAGCTAAGACCCTGGGGGACTGTGGGGTATATATAGATGTGGGGCCAAGGTGAATGCTACTCATTACTAATCCGATTTACAATCACCCATCTGCTATACGGGCACAAACCTTGCTCAGGCCTGTCCAGATGGATTCTTGTTTGTTATCATCGTTGCTTCGTGTTCTACTCAAGAAAGGGCACATAATTTATGGTTAATCCCTTTCGCATGCATACACCTCTGATTAGATCTAGAAACCTTGCAGTTCCGGCTATACGCGGAGTATTTGATGACAAGATGGGGCACGTACATAAATATATATGCATGGGTGCACATCAGCTTTCATGATATTTATTCCTCTAGCACACCTTTTTTATATTCACGAATGGTTATATTTCAAGATCGACCTGTCTTACATTCGTGTCTTGGCAGACGGCCGTCACCGTTGGCTGACAAATAATCCTAGTGCAAAATACAGCGCACAATTCCTACCCAAAACCACTTATCGGTGCAACTGATCAGGCATATCTACTACTTACTTAATGCGGAGAACTATCACAGGTTGAGCTTGCCACAGTATTCTTTTTACAACTATATTGAATTCCGTGCTTGTGAGCGCAGATAGTGCCGATGCTTGCTCCAGGCTGCCCCTGTACTCGTACATGATTCTAGATACTTTTACTCAGCATTGCTGTACTATCCTAGGTACTCCCAAAAACTATGCTTGGAAACGGCACGGTACAGAGCTTCGATCACACAGCGGGTGTACGATTCATCCGAAGTGGTTCGGCTTATAATGCGAGGTGTGTAATATACTTAATTCAGCTAGCTTTTCGGTCGATATGCCGTCTATGCTACGTGCGTATGTGAGACGTACTCATTCATGAGCTTTAGTTCATTTGAATACACTACAACATGTATATAAGGTCCAAAAATGCATGCCGCCCCAGTTATATATTACTGTCGCTAGTACACATGTGTTCTGACCGACACCAAGGAATCCCGTTGGCCAACTAATCGAACATTGTACGTAGTACGTACTAAGGGACCGGCCTATAGGTTAACCATTAATTAGTCAACGAGAATGATTAATTTATCGGTCAGAGCACATCCATGCTTGAAGAATCGAATACCCGTCGGCAGCCAATGCACCATATTTCTGCAGTCTTCATTTTGCATGAACGAAAGTAGACAATTTACATCGGATGATTGATCTTTAGACCATTTGTAGACATGTAGCCGGCAAACATAATCAGACCGGCTCAACGACCTGAGATTTCTCACCAATTACTATTCGATGGAAATATACCCGAAGAGATCGCCATAACAGACTAGCCGGTATCGGCCGTCACGTGCTGTTCAACTGGCGCAATGGTAGCGCATCAGACTTCTACCCAATACAAGCAGGGCTCGAACCTGCTCGGGATGGAATCTGGGGGTTGCAGGTTCGAGCCCTGCGTTGAATGCTTTCGCCTTTTTTTGTGTTTCGCAACCTCTAGATTTAGTGGTAGGAACACAGTGGTCTGGGTACTTAGCTTTCTTGATGGCGATTCGATGGTGATACAGAGCAAGGGTGAAGTGGATTGTACGCACAGTCAGTGAAGCAAATGATGAATTGTGCTGTGTTGTTTCATGCTAGATCTCGGCCTTTCAATTTTTCGTGGCGAGTGCTCAGCTAGCTAGTTGTTGTGATCATTAATGTACTCGTACTTTGAACAGCCGCAGCTAACTTTTGGGCAGTCATTATGAGCTCGCATCTTTCATCTCAACCGTGCACAAAGTGAAGCAGGTTCATTTGCGCGCACAACACTAGCGTGTATTGCTTTTTAAGTTTATTTACAAAACCCTGGGGGTTGGAATCCGGAACTCGGATGACGAGTGACAATTTGAGACAAATATGGGTATTTGCTGACACTTCAAATTTCGGGGTTAAGAACTACGTGGTTACGATTTCGCATGGAAACCCAGTCGGAATAGGTGTAAATTTCATGACGTAATATGATCTACTGCCTTATCTACTACTTTCAAACTACATCGCGAGTCAGTGAACCGTGGGGTCTACATAACCGTAGCCTATGAAGTTTAAGCTGTATAAGTAGTGATTGTTGCTGGAATCCGCTAAAGTCGGAAAGCGATTCAATCGGATACTTTACGACATACAAAAGAATTAGTAATCGCGAGTGACTCGGTGAAAAGTGTAGTGGGGTGGTGCTGAAACGTGCACGCAATTGACTTCAAAGACGATGGTCGTACATGAGACTATCCCTGGATTGTAAAGATACGAGATTCTAGGAACAAGTGAATTATTCAAAAGATGTGCGGTACTATTCCTTGGAATCCCTTGACCGGCTTTCTATGCTGTATAATGCAAGGCATACATCATAGTTTCGTTTAAACATGTGTAACATTATGCTTCAAAGTTAGGTTTCGCCACGTGTGGGTGTTTGGGTGGTAAAACACAACAGTTAGCGCTCATTGGAAGAGATATACTTTGATAAGCGCGATTAAGCATTATCTAACAGTTAATTTCATTGTATGTTGATAGGTCAATAGGTAATCCGCCATGAGCAGCGCTATGCCTTGCGTGCGCAGCACAACAATCGTATAAATGTTTGTACTACAACTCAAGTAATTAAAACATGCCACCGCTGCAGCTAAACTATCAGCCCCAGCCTCAAGTAGTAATTATTACGATTGGGCCCAGCGAATAAAGGTGGCAGTAATCTTGGTAAGGCTTAATTATTCGTCCGAGTCGGGACCTCGTATCTCACATGAATACAGGATATGTGCGCGTGCAAGAGATTTAAGCTGTAGGTTGGCTGTGGCTATCTTAGCAGATCCCTGGCAACCCGAAATGCTTCGCCTTAATGGCGGTCCTTGTTCTACATTTTATTTAGATACATTATAAAGGATTTATATTCTTCGAACAACCGCCGAATTTCAATAAAAAGTTACGCTATACACCATAGTTCATGCTAAAGTACGGTACAACATGTGCTTCACAAGTGAACCGCAAGAAATCTCCTACGGACCACGCACACGAAACATTGTCCCCCTTCAAGAAACAAGACCGGTACGGATCACACCTGACAGAAAGCGATATCAAGTAGGCTCTGCTTCGCCGGACGACAGGACATCGCCGAGGCGGGGAAATAGCCATAGAAGAAAGTCCGTTTCGATGCGTCGCATTGTTGGGAAAGTAGGTGCCTTATTTTTCTGAACTGTTGTTTCAGGATTAACTTTCGTGGCCATAGTTTTGGAGTAGTAATTAAGTTGTGTTAGGATTCGAGGCGGATGGGAGGTATAAGCGGATATTTATGGTGTTTGGGGATATGGCGTTTGTGTTTCTTCATTAAGTTTGCACATTTTGGGGTGTTTCGAAAGCGAGATGCCATACTAAATATAAATAGAACTTGAGTAGTTCAAACCAGTGTCCTGTTTGTCTCGTGCTCAGTCCAGTAGTCCTGGCTCAACCACAAACTCTCATAACTCGGCGGTGATATCAATAAGCCGCCAAGTTACGAGGTCGGGGACTCGATAAATAAAAAGCTGGGCACGAGAAAAGTTGTAGTTGTTCATAATCCCAGCCTCAATCTGCGTATTCAAGCCCAACAACATTAGAACAAATAAGTGGCCTTAGAACACTTCAATTTGAAGATTGATTTGCGATCACTCTGCATTGAAGACGACTGGTGTGGGTGCAAATCACTCGTCCCACACACTCTTTTCGGCCTGACGGCCTAATATTCCATGAAGGAACTCCCCAATGCTCACTGTGCGGAAGCCAACGGTTCTCCCTTCAGAAGTTCCTACGTAGCCGCTAACGGCTGTTCCAAACTTCTCCATATGAACTCTAGGAATTCGTAGCCATGCCTCGTCCTTGTCCAAATGAAGAATGTCAATGTGTATTGCAGTGCCAGTTACACCCAGAAACTGCTTGAGTGCAGATGTGAGAGAGGTTCGCCAGGTTAGGATATCTGGTGGCCATTCTGCGCCCGACGATTCGGCAGGCGTGTACGGAGGATCATAGATCCTGCAAAAGTCAACAATCAATGGATCGAAACTGCAACAACCGAGGAAAAGGGCAGCAGACATTTGGAGATGGGCATAGGACCAATCATGGTTTCGAATGGTAACCCGCTCAATTGGCCGAGGCTTTGAGGAGGTTTCCGTTGAGGTCATCTGTATTGGCGATGAGGCTGGAGAGGTGCAGCATTCTCGCATGCAGGGTTTGTCCGAAGACTGGTTGCGGCTGAAATTTTTATTTTGCGGGACACAAAGAAATTTCCGCAAAGCAACACGAAAGTACACATATCCGTATGTTCAGAGTTACTATTTGAAATACAAGGATTATTTTGATACCCTAAAGAAGATGTTCTGAGCATTTTAGGGCTAGTATGAAAAGACACGGCTGGCGGGGAAAAAAAATTCCACTTTTCAATAGCCCCTCATCGAATTTCCCAGCCTATTTCAACGACTACTTCTATCCTCCCATCCTCCCTCGTCTTCATCCACTCAACAACTCATTACCACTTCTATTCATCATTCAAGTACCCGAATACAAGTCATTTAATACTTAATTCTACGTTTCCCGAAATCATGGCGGAAGCAAACAAGATGGCGCACTCCGAGGTGCACTACTTCCAAAGGTAAACACCGAAGTCTTTTAATTACTGCGGGTGTACTTTTTCTAACAACTTCCAATAGTTACAATCATCACGGTTAGTCAACCTTCGCGATTTCCCTGCGGACAAGACGCGTTGTGGAAGAAAGGTCTTCAAAAGTGGGCACTGACTGAGGACCCTCTCTTAATATAGGCATTCACGAAGAGATGTTGGTATGCTCATTCCCGCAGTCCCATATCGTCAATGGTGATTTGGGCTAACAGAGATCCGGCTTTTTAGAAAGATGAAGTCCGAACAAACACCTACAAGAACGCAATCTACCAAAATGCGCACCTGTTCAAGGATAAGGTTGTCCTCGATGTTGGATGCGGAACCGGTATTCTCAGCATGTATGTTACTCCATCTTTTTATCCAATCCCCATACCCTACTCCTGTGATGAGAATTTCATTCAAACAGTTATCCCTGTCTGAAAAACCCATAGTACGCTATGGATAATTGTTGAGAAATAGTTTCTGAGTTCATCTTCGTTCCACATAATATACCATTGCATATGATTTTGTTCAATTCACTAACATGGTTTTGAACACAGGTTTGCCGTTAAGGCCGGTGCCAAGAAGGTTATTGGTGTTGACATGTCCACCATTATCGAGAAGGCACGTGAGCTGGTCGAGGTGAACGGCATGAGCGACAAGATCACCCTCATCCAGGGAAAGATGGAAGAAGTTGAGCTGCCCGTGGACAAGGTTGATATCATCATCTCCGAGTGGATGGGATACTTCTTGCTCTATGAATCCATGTTGGATACTGTCCTGCTGGCTCGGGACAAGTACCTGGCACCTGGTGGTTTGATCTTCCCCGACAAGGCCCATATCTATATGGCTGCCATTGAGGATGGAGAATACAAGGAGGAGAAGATTGGCTGTAGGTTTCCCATGTTCTCATCTCATATACCCGGTACTGATAGTTTTGCGTAGTCTGGAACAACGTATATGGCTTTGACTTCACGCCGATGCAGAAGGTTGCTCTCGCAGAGCCGTTGGTCGATACTGTTGAGTTGAAGGCCGTCGTTTCTAAGCCTTGCCTGGCTTTCTCTATCGACCTTTACACTGTTAAGGTCGAGGAGCTGGCATTCACTGCCCCCTTCAAATTGGAGATTGAGCGCAATGATTACGTTCATGCGTTCATTTCTTGGTTCGATGTTGAATTCTCCGCTTGCCACAAGCCGCTGCGGTTTTCAACCGGTCCTCATGCCAAGTACACGCACTGGAAGCAGACCGTGTTTTACATCTCTGACTACCTGACTGTGAACAAGGGTGAGTTCATTGAGGGTGTTATCAGCTCAAAGCCTACCGAGAAGAACCCTCGTGATTTGGACGTTGGTCTTGAGTACAAGTTTGAATCAAACGACCCCAAGCGGAGTGTCCAGGAGCGTCTCACCTACAAGATGTGTTAAATGTAGCTGGCAGTGGAGGTAATAAATACTATTTCATCACGATTTCATGAATGGGAAAAAGGGAATGGGGCAATTGGATTTTGGGTCAATGGGTTAAAAGGAACCTTTGGTTTCAAATTTTGTACGATAGGGCACTTCTTTTTCAACAGTTGAAGGAACAACTAGCACATAGGGTCATGTTTTACCTAGGGAATAACACTAGGTTAAGATAAGATTTACCGTGCACTTCTCTCATCTTCCATTCAAAAGTGAACCGAATCAGGAGAAATTCCCAGCTACCGTGTCTTGATATTACCACCACATAAATTACTTATAGACATTAAAACACTTGTGTTGACAATGGTATCGTGAATTCATGCCCACCCTAAGCATCACCACCATCATGTA